ATGGGGATGCTGCAATGGTCATAAGTGTGGAAAATGGTCACAAGGCACTTTTTTCAGTGCCGTTGTAATTTCGAACAGTCACTAAATGAAGTGTTGTAAATCAAGGACTACCTGTAACAGGGAAGGGGAACAGAATATATGGAATATTCCTTAATAAAATGCTCAAGTTCACCTCTGACTCAGTCCTCTCCAATTTTATTCCCATTACTAATATTCTAAAAACAGTAACTAAAGGTACAGCCCTCCTCTCTGCCATGTATAAACTGAGCATTATCCACTATCTCGGCATCATGGTATCTTTTCCAGTTCCTACAGTAAGAAATTAGAAAACCAACAATTTTTTTTATCAAAACTCAAAGTGTGACAACTAAATGTATATAAGCACTCCACATATCATTATAGATCAGTAACAGAGCATGTAGTTTACACTGTAAAATGTTCCCGTATCATAGTTAGTAGCCTATCTCTATTTCACTAGCCACGATATGAATACCTTCAAGTTTCTCTTAGTAACCTAAAAATAGATGCTTTTGATAAGGCTTAAAAATAAGTCACTATTTTTCAAAGCAACATATTAACTAAAATTGTTATTAAAACACATGACTTTAATAATTGACTTTTGAAAAATCTTTTTCAATCTAAAAGGAGTAACATATAGGGTTTTTTATATATATATTCTAGGATCTTCTCAGCCTTCCTAGCTAATTTTACTAGTACAATTAATCAAATACAACCAACAATTCCTTCTGGATACATAGTTAATACTTAAATATACTTAAGCCTGGACATGCAATATGATATAATCCTTATGTATTTATTTGAAAAAATTACATGCTGCCCTTCAAAACAACATTTTCTCAGGGCAAGTTTACAACATTTGAAAATCATATATGAAAATGCATAATGTACATACAGTAAATGCATAGACAGGCACAATTTAAAAAGCTCAACTGAAACAAGCATAAGCATTAAACATTAAACACATTCATACGTTTAAATACTAGTAAAGTTTTAAAAAATATCTCTCTAAGTATTAAAAGAAAAAGAGAGTTGTGTCTTGCTCAGGAGGAGTTTTCCATTCCAAGGTTGCTGGATTAGGTAGGCTAGTGCTTGTGCAGAAAAACACTATCCCTAGCACTGCATCTTAGCATAGGAAAGCATCTAGAAGAAGATTCTCGATATACTTGAGCATTTGGCATTTATAGAAATCTTGCACTATTAGAACATAATCAGAAAATAAAAGAAGTGACAGTTGAGTCTCATCACATTACCAGCCAGGAGTAGTTCAACAGCTGCCAATTCTCCGATATCAAAAAGATCACTCAGAATAAAGGCCTCTTTGATGAGCTGTTCTGGTAACAATCGGGTCCCCTGTTGACCTTGGATAGCAACTCCCTCTGTATTTGCTTTCTGAACTTTTTCATGCTGTTGGGCATTCTTTGGCTACAAAATAATTTTTTAAAATGTCTAATTATTCTCAAAACTACATTGAAAAATTTGTACTAAAATACAGCTGAAAAGTATTGTACTAGGAAAATACAAAACACTGTTTTATGGATAAAATGTTTTAGGGAAATACCGAATTAGTCTAGTTTTCTTCTGGAATGCATCAGAATGTGGTTTGGTAATTTTTCTGGAACTGAAAATTTGGTAGAAGAATAAACCATTTCAGTGTTTCCCATAATCTTCTTCCCAGGAATAAATTCTGCAAACATGTGCATGGTATATTTTAAATCATTGACCAAACTCCAATATATTTCACATTTCCTAACATCTTTAATACAGTAAAACATAATCTATAACTGATTTAAATTGACTGTGATTGTACATTGTGCTATATTGTAATGTGATATACTAAATTAATGTTTTTTATGTCTTTACTCATCATGTTCTGTGAACTATGGATTATGGCTTAACATGTATATAAGATATCCTGACTATGAGTACCTAGCACCTTAAGAATTAGTTAGGATATTTCTGTTTCTTAAAAAGAAAGTCTCCAATATTTTAAAAACAGTAATAATGTTGGAAATTGCTAACTATGTTCAAATGAGGATTCATAATTCTGGCTGGGGATACAGCATTGTTCAAATTCTATTTTGCTAGGAAATCTTTCCACTAAATCATACAAGAGATGATTTATCACTATGTCTTAAGGCAGAAGTGTCAAACTCGCAACGTCACGTGACGTGTCGTATTGCAACTTTTTTTCCTTTTCCGGCAATGGGGTGGGCATGGTTTTGCCATGATGTATCTGGCCCCTGGGCCGGCAGTTTGACACCCCTGTCTGAAGGGGTCAGAGAAAAGCAATATTTCAATATAGCTTGTTGCAGCTCTATTCAAGTTCTCCCAAATGTAAATTCAGCTATTTTCCTAGCACAGAAATCATTATTTTAGTTATTGAGCTAATCTATTTTTCTCAAGTGAGCTGTCACTTCCCATTTAACTTGACCGTACTGGGCAATATTATATTCTTTTAAAAAAATACTACCAAAAATCCCTTTCCATTATCTATTATCAGTTTGTTGTGTTACTGAAATATAGATGTCTATGCAGAAATATTATCTTCATTGTAATATTATTAAAATACCTCATTCTGACAATATATAAAGTTTTAATTCAAGTAAAATATAAAGCAAATTTTAAGAAACAAGAATAATACCAACACAACTCTTTTTTACACACCTCCCAATAAAATAAAAGTTTGTTTACCGGATTTCTGAAGAGTGATATAAAGTCAGCTTTGTGTTTCTTTAAAATCTGGTCAAGAACATGTATTGCTTCAGATTGCCTTTTCCATATAGCATTAACCACTGCCTGCCAAATATCTTTGTATGGCCCCCACAAACTGGCAGCTGAAAATAATATATATGTGTTGCAATTAAATAAAATTACAATAAAAACATTGCTACATTATATAACATTTACAAAAAAATTAAATTACATTAATTATATGCAATGGCAATAACCAGAGGTAGTTAATTTTGCCCCATTTTATGACTTTTCTTGCCACACTTGTTAAGTGAATCACTGTATGGTTGTTAAATGAAACTGGCTTTCCCATTTGCTTGTCAGAATTTTGCAAAAGGTGATCACATGAACCCAGGACACTCCATTTGTCATAAATGAGTAGTTGCCAAGCATCTGAATTGTGATGACAGGACCATGGGGATGCTGCAGTGGTCGTGTGAAAAATGGTCATAAGTCACTTTTTTTAGGGACTTTTGCAACTTTGAATGGGCATTAAATGAACTGTTTTAAGTCAAGGACACTACCTGTATTGTCGCAAGAAAAACAATCACAGTTCCACTAACAGTCAAAATACCTAAGGACAATAATTCAGATTTCCTGTGGTCCTTCAAAGAATGTTTAAGAATTTGACTTTTCATCACGGAAGAATCTATTTAAAAAACTCTAGGTCTGCTCTCAGTCGCCGTTATAGGTTTTACTCTTACCGTTTTTATGTTTTCAATGTACTGTGTTATTAGCCGCCTAGAGTAGCATTTCCCAGTTTCTCGGCCGTATTAGTCAAAAAAATTGATTGACATAAATTTGATTTTTTGATTGGGAGCCGCACAAGGTTTGTTGTAAGGTCCGCGGCTCCTGCAAGATCCAAGGGATTATATTTTTCGGTGTTGTTTTAGACCAAGACGAAGTGCAAGTAAAGCAGCAAGCCCATAAATCTTCTTTGAAGTAAATGTTCTACTTAGTTTTGAGCTGCTGCGTAAAGAATTGCGCGAAGCGAAAAGGGAAAGAAACTCCTATCAAAAACGGTGGCCTTAAAATAATTCATTTTTCCATAAATAAGGAAGAAACCGGGCGGCACCTGTACCGCCTCCAAGAAAAAAAGACGTCCGAAACCAATCCATCCGCATCTCCACTCGCATCTCCTCTCGCTCCCCACCTCGCACCCGAGTCTCCCTACCTGAAATTACCGCCAACGGCGCCGACATCTTGGACGTCCACTCACGCGAGCCCAGCGCTCCTCCTGCCCAAAGGCCCGGAACTCGAAGCAGGCGACCTCTGTGATTGCCGGGTAGCACTATTAATCTTCCGACAAACCATTTAAGATGCTTAGTATCAAGAATAATTCCACCTTCTGCTTGCTTTCCATAGCACGGTGAGCAGATTGTTCCTTTAGCTCATTAAATAAAAATCTACAATTTTTTTTTTAGCAGTACAGTGATCGCTATGTGCCCAACAATTAAGAAAATCAGGACCTAGAAGTAACGAATGCTGGGAATTGTAGTTCAGCTCAACATGATAGAAGAGCGGGAAATTGAATGAGCATTGCAATATAGTGAGGCAGGTCTCATCCGTTGGCTGGAACGATGGATACGGTTTTCTTCACAAATACACAATTTTGTTCAAAAGTATGGATAAGGCAGCCGATTATATAAAAATATCTTTGGTACATCAGAAATGAATAGACTGATTAACAAGTTATAACTTTTCTTTCCTTTAAAAAGTCAAGGTAGCATACAAGGTTCTCCCTCCCACACATTATTTTTTCACAATACCTCAATGAACTAGATTAAATAGAATTGAACTGATGAGTCCTCGCCAACGTTATTGAAACATCTTGCCACGGTTCCCGTGAGATTAGTCTTTTTGGCGCAATGTTTTGGACGGAGTGGATTTGTTATACATCAGTTTCCCTCTTCCTGTTTAACATACCAGAATATATGGGTGTAAATAGAACTGAAATCAACATTGTTTCACACAAACTCAGGCTGATATTATCCAGCGTTGAATCCAATTAATTTAAATCTGAACGTATTTTCAAACAAAAGTTTGCTGATATTATCCAACCGATTCTGAAAAAATATAATCACCGCTTCATGAAGCAAGTTAACCGTTCGAAATATTGTATAGACGGGGAGAGTTCCTAATTCCCCAAACCAGTTCCCCAAACTACTGGAGTAGACCTGCTGGGGGCAGACTCTCCGCTTTGCTTCCTATCTTTTCCTTCCGTTACACCAACTCGCTGATGGCTTGCTCGTATTCACCTTGGGAACAGCTTCCGGGGCATGCTGCTGGTCTGTCCCCCGTCGTCTTAACAGAAGATGCTGGCATGCAACTGATGGTCCGATGGTTTGGAGAGTATCCGTCTCTCACATAAAGGTCGTCTGTAGAACTACCCAGCTTTACTCCCATTGTGGTGGAAGAGAACCAGCGACCGAGAAGAAATTGTTAACCCGGGGATCGACAATGTGGGTAAGTGGAGACCAAGAGGAACTAGGGAGCCAGAGCCACTGACCGTAGTTTTCTCAGCCGGAGCTCCTCGTTCTTCTGGGGAATCTGTGGGGTAGGATAAAGGGAACGTTTGCCTGCATGCAACGTCATCCAAGTTACCACGTGTTACGTATGAGCAAGAATGTCCCAAAGTTGCTTTTTTCAAGAGGCAACTGGACTTTCTTGTTTTTTCTTTGAAGATGTTTCGCTTCTCATCCCAAAAGCTTCTTCATCTGACTGAATGGTGGAGAACGGAAGGATTTATACTCCTTGCAGGCAGCTGGTCGTTTGCATTCTAATTTAGACAGTTGTTAAGGCTAAGTGGAGGTTAGTCTGTGTTCTCAGGATCACTTGAGTACTAAAAATGGGTGTGGAGCCTTCTTGGAAATGCTGAAAGAACTGTGTTGTGGAACTCTGCTGGATGGCATTCCCTACTATATTAAAATAAACAGAAATCCAGTGGTGGCAATTCTCTTGATGAAACCACAACTAGATTTCTGGAAAAACTCATTTTCCTTAATTATATTGGTCTAGTATTGATTTTAGAAAAAGCCATTGTGACCAGTGTGAAAAAAATATAACCACTTTACTGTCTCATCAAGGGATAAAAGTGCCATCAAATCCCACAAATAGTACAGCTGTAGTTGAGGTGATGATAAACATGCTCATTATTTTCCTAAAGGCCTTACAGCTCTTTTTTTTTAAGATCTAGGTATAGTGCTTTTGCTGGCCAACATGTTTGTGTTAGTAGAGATGACAGATACAGTGCGAATTCCTCCATGGCAATTTGAAAGAAAGCTTAATGATGCAATCACTGAAGAGTTAAATAAGAAGTTGGCCAATAAGGTAATTATTAAAAGTTCAAACAAATTGATTCTAAATGCTTCATCAAACCATTAGTGCGTATTTCTGTCTCAGGGTAATTCATGTATTTGATAAAATAGACTATAGTATATGGCAACATGCCATAACAGAATTGTGAATTTTGAAGAAGCTAGGAAACTCAGCTGTTAATTACTGAGCAAGCTTGGGTAACCTTATTTTAAGTTACAATTCCCATAAACGGCAGGCAAAAGTAATCAGGGATAACAGTTTGAACACAAGGTTATTAAGTATGTTCCTCATTTAGAAAAAAATTGAAAAATGGCCTCCAAATTTTCATCAGCTTATTTGGAATGTTTCTTGTTCTGTTAATACATAGTATAGTACTATAGAATTGATTTGCAGTTCATCACAAAAGGCTGGCTGTTCATGTTTCTTTCTATTCATCTCCAGCTTCAGGGATTGTCATTTTTTTTTTTATTTTCATTCTTGTACTCTCCTTGGAATCACCTGGCTGAAATGTTTAGAGATATAAATGACATAATCATTAGTAATATTCAGTTATGTGGCTTTTCTTTTGTACATATTTTTACATGAACTTTCTGATAATTGCAATTTGTAGCTCTCTGGACCTCCCTCATTTCTCCCTCATTCTACTGTATTTAGGTTGTATATAATGTTGGCCTCTGTATCTGTCTATATGACATTACAAAGCTGGAGGATTCCTACATATTCCCAGGAGATGGTGCATCACACACAAAAGGTTTGACAACTATATCTAAGTTATGCCTCTTCAGATTTGTGGAGAAACTGAGAGCCACAAGACTCAGTATTTAATTCAAAATATTTAACTCCCATTTTATTCTTGACACTATTTTTCCTTAATATAAAGTAAAAATTCCATGTATTATTGTTCCATTCTAGAGAATTAAGGATTTGTCATCCTGCAATATATCCTGGTTCAATTTTTGTTAACTTGGTATGATAGTGAATTAGCATATGATTAAATACAGTATGTTATATAGTAATATTAAGCAATTCTTCATTATTAAAGCAGATATTGATGATTGAGAAATCATGAACAAATTGGCACATATTGTAGATGTTCAGCTTGCTAATAGGATTAATTTTATTCTAATTTAATACAAATGTGCATTTTAAAAAGGGCATTTAATAGGTTAGTTTTCAATTTAAAAAAGAAACATCTGCAATGTCCTATGCCTATGAAGTTCTACCTTGCAGTGCCGGTTACTTTATTCATAATACAGTAAGATATTGATTTATTATGTTTTAATTTATTATTTGAATTTAGTTTTAATTTTCATTAGTTTAGTCTTTTAAAAGGAAAAGAAGCGGTATATAGAAATTACAAAATACATAATGAAAAAGTTTGCAGAATAGTATAATGACATCAGTGGATCAATATCAATGGATTAGAACAAATTTAAAGATAGTTTAATTGTTAAACACCTATGCATTTCAAACCTATGCATTTAATTGTTATTAAAATCAATGTTTAAATTAGCTAATCTGCATTATGTAATAAAAATAAAAGATAAGAAGCTCCGGATCAGATTTATGATACTTGCTGCTTTTTTTAGTACATTTTAGGTATGTTGTATTTCATCCATTTTTGGATGAAATTCTGGTTGGAGAGATAAAGGGCTGCAGTCTTGAAGGTGTACATAGTAAGTTTTTTTATTATTTAAAATGATGATAACTACTACAAAGATTTTTTTTCAAAAGATGTACCAGTAATAAAAAATAGTGGAAAGTATTATGTTGTGGTATGTAACCAAGGTAACCAAGATGTGATGAATTTGTTTCAAAACAAATCTGTAACTGATTCCTGTCTAATTGATTAATTTCTTGTCCACTGTTTCAGCAATTTTATTTTTGTCATTTAAAATCAATCTAATAATGTCTATTCTTTAGAAATCTGGGAGATAGCAAAATCAAACTTTATTGAATCAGAGAGCCAATGTATTTGCTGTATTATTTGATAATGTTTTATTGGGTTTTGTGTAAAATTATTATAAGGGTATGTCTCTTTAATCCTGCCCTTTGAGAAATGGCAAGGACCCGTAGTCACTGTAACCTTAAGTATAATGTTGAGAAGATTATATGTAAAATACATAATTAGTGGTATGTTTATAGATATATATAGTTTTTATTTTGTAAATGCACTTTAAAATTTAGAGATGAGCAGCTTTAACTAGATGTAGGCAGTCCCTGACTTACAATAGCTTCTTTAGTGACTGTTTGAAGTTACGACACTGAAAAAAGTGACTTATGACCATTTTTCACAGAACTGTTACAGCATCCCTGTGCATATGATCAGAATTAAGATGCTTGGCAACTGAGTTATATTTATGATGGTTGCAGTGTCCCAGGGCCATGTGATCACCTTTTGCAAAATTTTGACAAGCAAAGTCAATGGGGAAATCAGAGTCATTTAACAACCATATTACTAACTTAACAGCTGTGGCAAGAAAGTTCATAAAATGAGGCAAAATTCACTTAACCAATGTCTTCCTTAGCAACAGAAATTTTGGGCACAGTTGTGGTTGTAAGTCAAGGATTTAAGTATTACTCTTGAATTTGTCTAGAAGCGATTATGTTGAATGCTGTAATATTTTTAGAGGTGTATTGTCATTTTTTTCTCACATGCATTATTGGACAATCTAAGGCTTAAGCAGGTGTTATTATGTTGTATTTAAGTGGCTACTTCATTAATTGATTTTTCTACAGTTTCTCTTGGGTTCTTTGATGACATACTCATTCCTCCAGAATCTCTACAACAGCCTGCTAAATTGTATCCTTCAGGTAGCTCTATACAAACAGTACATTCAATAAAATAATAATAGGCAATAATAGGCAGAAGAGAACTGGGAAAAAAAATCACAAAATTGAAGATCTGTAGAATAGAATAGAATAGAATAGAATAGAATAGAATAGAATAGAATAGAATAGAATAGAATAGAATAGAATAGAATAGAATAGAATAGAATAGAACTGTGGCAAAAGAAAGCAAAAATAATATCAAACATAATAGGCATGTGGAGTGCGATTGCAAAACAACTGGACCACCACTTGAACACCATCGGCATCAAAAAGTCACTGTTAGTCAATTGCAAAAAGCAACTTTACTTGGAACAACTTATATCCAGAAATAATAACTTTAATGTCATCAAACAACATCTGCCTTTTCCAGGCCCTTGAAAAGGACTTCATAGGTGGATAAAAATGCCAAATCCAGTCTCAAAATTTGGTTTACTGTGCGACCAACCAAATTAGTAATAATGACAAATCTTTTCAGATCAGGCTTATTTCTATTTATTTTTTAAAGTCTGTTTAGTTTGTTAGAAAATATTTTATTTCAAGCCTTAGACTTAGTAAAATCAGCAAGAATTATCCTGATTAAAAATGCAGTAGAGATGAAATTAAGGGAGACATTAACATTTTTTTTCACATTATATGTCTTAATGAAGTAGTATCTGACTGGTAGTATCATAAAGCTTACAATTAGACTATTTAGGCCATTGATACTAATAAATCTGGGATCTAGAGGAAAACATGATTGCCTAATCCTATTTGAATACATCCAATAAATGTGAATCCCTAATCTCTTATGGTTATCGGTCCCATTAAAACTTCTTAACATTCAACCAGAATCTGTTCTTTTGTAAATAAAATCATTACTCCATGCTCTACCCTATAGGACAGTGGTGGCGAACCTATGGCACAGGTGCCAGAGGCGGCACTCAGAGCCCTCTGTGGGCACGTGCACCGTCATCCCAGTCCTAGGCCTTCGGCTGGGTTTTATAAAACCTTTTCACTTTAGGCCTCTGCTGCCGTGTACAAAAAAAAAAGGTTCAATCAATCAGTCAATTTCAACTTCTCGCGGAAAAAAAAGATCTTGCATAGTTGGAATTGATTGATTGAACTTTTTAGTCCCACCCAGTCTGCTGTTACCACAGCCACGCCCATCCAATGGGCCACACCCACACGGCACCCGACGATGCATAAGTGGGTTTTGGGGTGCAGTTTGGGCACTCGGTCTCTAAAAGATTCGCCATCACTGCTATAGGATGTTAGAGAACAGTTGTTTTTTGTCACATTGTTGCCTTAACCTTTTCATGTACCCAGCGATGAAACAGAACAGGTATGGGTTTGGGAATATGAGACTGACGAAGGAGCCCATGACCTGTACATGGATACAGGAGAAGAAATACGTTTCCGTGTAGTGGATGAAACTTTCATTGATACATCCCCAACAGGCCCAAGCTCTGTAGAACCTTCCACATCTAGTGGCACTGAGGAGACACAGAAGAAAGAAGCACCCTACACTATTGTGGTATGTACTTTTCTTTGGAACCCTTTAAAATAAAGAGATTTGCCAATACCTAAATGGAGAAATAAAAGGAAAAGACTATCTCAAATCAAGTTTAATGTCTGGTGATTACTGTAATCCATCCATACACTTTTGGTGGCAGCAGTACACATTGCTTTCCTCTGGAATATGCGCAGACATGCACACAACCTAGTATTGTCTACAACAATACTGAGATTTCCTGGTAATTTTCCATTCAAGTATCAATAGCTTCAATTCTATTTAATTAGTCATGGAGTGGGGAAGAATTTCTAGTTTAAAAAATGTAGTTGCTTTTATAACGATGTGCAGAATGTTTCATTTTGAAGTATCTGGAGCATGAAACTTTTCCAGAACAACCTGTTTCCAGTATAAATTTACTGTTCCTATTTTGCAATCAAGTTGCAATTCTGCAATTGAGGGAAGATGTTTTATGTTCAAAATGGCTAAAAATAAAACATTTTGCACCCGTGCAGTTTATACTAGCTTCTACGAATGGAAGGAAAGAGAGTAGAATGTGAAGGTATAGTTTAAATATAGAGCTGAACAATTATATTTTTGTCAAATGTTTTGAATTTGTAGAATGTAAAGCTAGGCAAAGATTTTTGTTTATGATTGTATGAAATCTGTATGGTCTAGAACACGGGTCGGCAACCTGCGGCTCCGGAGCCACATGCAGCTCTTTCAGCCGTCTCCTGCGGCTCCCTGTCCTCCGCCGCCATGTACAGTCTGGAAAAAAAAACTGGGACTAAAAAAGTTCAACTAATCAATTCAAACATCTCACAAAAAAAACTCGTTGTTTGAATTGATTGGTTGAACTTCTTTGGTTTGTGGGGCTGCCCACAAACCTCTTTCCTTCTTCGGACTGCACGTGGCGGCAGCAGAGGAAGAGCCGGGAGGATTGCTGGAAAGGTGTCCCTTTGCCACCCTCCGGAGGCAGAACCTGGGTAAGGAGTCATGGGTGGGGGCGGCCAGTCTTGAGGTGCCTCTTCCCTGCCCAGCGGGTCTCACCTCGCCCTGCTCCGCCGCCTCTGCTAGCCTGGGGGGGTCACCGGGGGTCTCTGGTCTCTTTTGAGAGATTCCCTACGGCGCCTGCCCAATCCTTTTCCCACCTGCTGTGCGGCACTTCTTGGCCGTCCTCCCGCTGCCACCGCCGCCACTGCCAGTCGCGCTGAACGAGGCCAGGGAGGCAGTGGCGACTGGGCAGCCGCACCCCTTTGCCGTCTTCCCACTCCCGCTACCAACGCTGCTGCCGGTCACGCTGAGTGAGGCCGGAGAGGCGGTGGCGACCAGGCAGCCTCGCCCCTTCGCCGTCCTCCCACTGCCAGTCACAAGAACTGCCGCTGCATGAAGCTTGCCTGGCTGCTGCGGGGCTCTCCGCCACCCGGCCCCACCTCAGCCCCATCGGTGGCGCTTTCCTCGGCCGCTTTTGGGGAGCCACCGCCGCCACCCTCACAGCCCAAGGTCTCCTCCTGCAGCACCGAGGGCGGCAGCAACTCCCCTCATCCCTGCAGCGGCACTCCCTGTTGGAGCCCCCTTTGCTGGCGTGGCCACCCATTGTGCACCCGCGCTGCAGGGAGAACAGCGTCCCCTTGGCGCCCTCCTCTTGCGACAGCAAAATAGCCAAAGACACGGCGGGGGCCGGGGCAGTGGGGATCCCCGACGGTGCTGCAGTGGCCGCGCTGTGCCGCCGTCGCCATCGCCTCCCATCCTTTCCCCCTCCCCGCCCCTTTGGCGCCGTCTGCCTTTCGTTCTCTCTCTGATATATGCAGTGTTATCTTCATTTTAGATATCAGAAGGGTTTTGCGGCTCCCAGTGTTTTGTTTTCAGTGGGAAACAGGTCCAAGTGGCTCTTTGAATGTTTTGGGTTGCCTACCCCTGGTCTAGAACCCAAGTATTGGTAGATATTCATGTTATTTTTTTGAACAGTTACAAAGGGATAGGCTTGGAGAGCGAGTGTCAACTCAAAATATATTAAATGCATATTAATTCAAATGTTAATTTTTACAATTTTTCATTAAGGGATCTATCAGTGAACCCGGCCTAGGTCTCCTATCTTGGTGGACCAACAATTAATTGACGATAAAGATGGACAGTTACACAGAAAAAGCCAGGAGATGCCTTGATCAGCAGTTGCAGAATGGTAATTTTTTTCCATTTCTGCTTTATAGATCAAATCAATCTGATTGAGATATACATAAATGAATGCACCTAATGAAATGTCATCAAAACAGAATAACTATGTACCATGAACATTACTGTAATAATCCTGATGCTTTTATCAACAGAAAAGGATATAATTACCTGGGAACAGTATGTTAGCCGAAAACAAAAAGAAAAGAGAAGATCCTCCAAATTTAAAAAGTGCAAAGAAAATATTCTTAAGGATTGACCTCATGCTGCTACAGTTCATTATGAAAATAAATGTTAAAAAGGACTGAAAAAGCACTACTTTATTTTTTTCAAAAGGATTGAAGGGCTACTTGTTTTTTATATTCAAACAGGTTATATTAAAAATGTGGTATAGTTAAAAACAATAATCAAGTTTCCTCTACTCCAGGGGTGTCAAACTCGCCCCATCACGTGACATGTCGCAACGTATCACGACTTTTTTTCCCATTGCCGGAACTGGGGTGGATGCAGTTTCGGCATGATGCATCCGGCCCACGGGCTGGCAGTTTGACATCCCTGTTCTACTCAGTCTTACAACAAATCATCATTTCAAAGGGCCGCAACCAACCAGGTAAAATGAATAAGCTGCTTTTCTGCCAGAATTACAGTTAAAATAGAAGAGAATATGTGTAATTCAGGGTTGTAGAGTCCTTGGTGTTCTTTAAGCTTTGATGTTAGTTTGCAGACATTTCATTACCCAAGCAGTAACACTGGTGTTAACATTATCAGATGATACCTAGTTGGGTAAAGTAATACTTGCCTGCAAGTAAACAACCAAGCTCAGAGAGCAGCAAGGACTCCACAGAATTACAGTCAGAAATTCTGCTTTATTTAGACAACAAAGAAAACTTACCTTCTTGTCTTAGAAAACATACAGCATAAATACTTATAGAAAGATAGATGGCCTCCGGGGATGTTCCATTGAGAAGACAAAATTTTATATACACAAACATTTTTCAACAAAAGAACTTACCGTATATGCCGGCGTATAAGGCGACCCGGCGTATAAGACGACCCCCGTCTTTATAGCCGGGCTGCATTCCTAGAACGTCGTCTTATACGCCGGAAACTACCAGTATTTCCGGCGTATAAGATGACCCCCGTCTTTGGCGCCGATTTCAGCGCTCGCGGAAGTCGTCTTATACGCCGGCATATACGGTACATTTTATATGGAAGAAGTTCCCATTTGAGGAATGAATATCTTATCACATGTTACATATGAAACAGGTTTAGACCATTTTTTATTGCACTGTGATATAAAGAATATTAAAACAGTTCTAATAAACTTATCAAAAACATCCTTGTAGAACACCTTGTTCTTGCTCACTCTATTTTCTGACAAGTAAGCATCCCAAATTCTAAAAGTTTTCATGATGCTGCAATTCAGTGTTTGTGCAGGACATTTCTACTCTTGGTGCTATGATTACTGCTAAGATGCAATGTTTTGCTTTCTAATATTGTGTAATAAAATATGATATAAAATTGGTAAGTTGGTAGAAAAATGAATAAGTTTAAAATATAGTTGGTAACAATACAACCATGGGTTTTTTCCTGCTTTTCAAAAAAGATTTTGGACTAAAAGCAATGATCTCTATTAAAGTTGCCGCTTTTTTGCTTGTTTTCCCTTAATGTTATTTAATGTATTTAGAATGTTTATATTATGCATCAAAATGTTAATACTTCTTATACAAAATATAAAATTAGTGAAAGTTGACAATTCATTTTTCTGACAATTTGTGTGTTGTACTTGCTATTCTATACCAGATCTATTGGAGTCTTCCACATATACTCTAAATCTGCTCCAGATACTCATTACTAAATGCAGTCCTTGAGCCTGGAATAAATTACTGAACATAGTAATTCTGCAATATGTATATGTATTCTTACAAACTGATTCTGCATAACCACTTAGCAAAAGAGAAGTGTTAAAAATGACCTCTGATAATTAGAAGCTTGCGATCTATATTCAACTTTAAAATTACTTCTTGATAGAATGGCTTTCAAAACACACTAATAAATTTGTAAGTCAAATAATGCGCAAGATACAGGAAACAAGGCTTAAAGAAACTGCCATAAAACAAACAGTATCGATATTTTGTGATTACATAAGCTAAGTGTTGAACTTCTGAAAAAAAGAGGATAATGAGATGTGATTGAATTAGTTTGGTCACTGCTCTGAAAAATATCTGCAAAAAGAGTAGTCTTCAACTAAATGGGTCTTTCAGTATACCACCAATCAAACCTGTCATGTGCAGCCCTGCAACAATGATATGGAGGAAAAAGATTTCTGCATTTAATTTAAAGTAGGATATCAATGGCCAATTTAAGCAGCCAATATTAGTGTGGAAGGGTTGCACTGGGAACTGTTCAAAATGTATTTTAAAATAATGCACAAAAGAAAAAAGCAAAACTACTTTTGTGTGTCTGTCAAATTTAACAAGACACAATTTTCTCATTTGCAGTATTCTCATTTGCGGTAGTTCCATTCTATACAATCACCATAAACAGTAGCAAATATTGAAACCTCAACTGGAAACATGCTTATCAGGAGACTCAAATTTCTCCCTGCTCTGCATGAGGATGAAAACACCGCAAGTATTGATTTTTGTTTATAAATAAATTTGAGTAAGCAAATTTTCAAATACAAAATTCACAATTAGCAGGAATCAGCTATACACACACACAAACACAGGTCTTATATTGCAGAATTATTCACATTTAAATTTGTTTATTCAAACAAAGAATTTTCTTCCATGCTTATAACTGGAAAGCAGTCTATAATCATAAAAATGAAATAAGCCATTCACTTTTGTTATCTTTTAGTTTATTCCAAAATCAGTTACATACTTAAGAACATAAGTATCTACAAAAATAGCAAATCTTTCAGAATAACATATATGAAATAAATTTGAACCAAAAGGATACCACTTAAAGCCCTACTGCATGAAAGTAAATTGCATATTGACAATGACTCAATCCCTCAAATTCTTCCAACACATGTAGTTTTTAAAATTGCTCACACAAAAGATTACCAAAAAGATCGAAAATAATCTGATGCAGACATTCTCTGAAACGATGGGGCAGTGGAGAGAAATAATACAATTCTAAGGAAATTCAGTAGGAGGGGCACGGAGAACGGAAAAGAGGGAGCAGCTGAGAAGACTAAATGGGAGAACTTCACAGCATTTTATTGAGGATATTCCATCTGCTTATTTGGACAAAAAATGCATCCTATTAGAATATCCTTACTTAGTGTTTTTAAAATCTTACGTTCGAAAACTTTAATAATATGTGAATGACGAGATTTCACTCACGTTTAAATATAACTAGTCAATGTAATGCACGAGCTCCTAGATCTCTCCCCCCCTCCCCCCCAAAAAAATCATTACGTGGGGAGTAGGACATTTTACGTTCGTTGGTAAAGAAGTTATTCCCTACTCCAGCCATCCCCTCGCTATGTGTTAGGGCTGAGTTCCCACGGGCATGCGACAGAAGAGTGTATGCCAGATGTTCAGGTCTCTTCACCTGATCTACATTTTGTACACCATCTTAAAACAGTAGCAGATGGGCAACTCACCTTACCTACCGTGCCTTAACCGATTTTAATGTGATTTTAAACAGCAGAATTGCAATCTGCCGATGAGCACCCCAAGAGTACAAAACCGAGCTATCGCCAGCCTGCTCAGTTAACTAAGCGCTACCGTCGAAGGGAGGCCCAAAATTACAAATTTGGAGGCTAACACGAACGCCGGTCTAGAGGGATCTCCTCGTATCCCGGCAATGTCGCAACCGTCTCCAAATCCATTGAGAGCGGCAACCACCAGTTTCTCCGCATGCAGCGGGTAAGAATACCAAGGCTCAGTTCAACAAATCCATCTACAAGAATCGCCCTCGGCAGCTCCCTCAAAACTTCCAGAAGCAATGTTTGCTGTGAGTTGTAGTTGAAGCTTGCCGGGCAGGTTAGAGGAGCGATGAGAAGCGTCTACTTACCTATCTTTGGTTAATTAAAAAGTTCTGTTCAGATGAGGCAGATTATAGAGCTGCATTTTTTCACTCTCCTTATCAAAGTTGCGGTATTTATAATTCCATGTTGAAATTAACATTTAACATGTATTTTGTTCTGTACCATTAAGCGGCTGCGCAAGAAAAGTTTGAAAAGGTTTCCAAATTACAGCACTGTACTGTATGAAGTTTCACAGCGCGATCCTGTGCAAAACTAAGCAAAAAAAGTATATTCCGTTTAATTCAGTGAGATTTTATTTTGTATGTATTGCACCGTTCTGCTCGATTTTGTTAATGCTATCAAGAAAGAATGAATGTTATATAAAAATATGACTTGATATTTTTAATATGTTTTATCAACAGGAATAAAATGCAAAACAAAGACAACAGAAAAATATAGATCCAACAGTAACAACAAAAGTTGTGTACAAAATAATAATGACCCAAACATCAAATAAGTCTAACATTAAACGTACAAAAAAACCTCAACTCGCTGTTGGATGCTGAGAAGAAAATACCTGATAAATTCTCCTCCCCTTACTTAATGGGTCTGTAAATAATTATAAGCTTTCTTATCCTTATTTTACAAGAAAAATATATAAACAACTATTTCAGATGAGAAGGTCTGTATCTAGTAATCAAATTGACCCAACATCTTATCTGTTTATATATTTTTCTTGATATATAAAGAACAGTCAACAGGTTAGCCCAGTCTCTTATAAAGCTTTTTAGTCCATTGTCTCTAATAAAAGCAGTTGATTTTGCCATCTTTGTTAATTCAGTCAATTTTAGAATCCATTCTTTAACAGTCAGCATCTCTTTCCCAGTGCTTAATAAATACAGTCCTCACAGCCGTCAACATGTAAACAAATAATGTCCCAAATTGTTTTTTGATTGGTTTATCCAATTTCATTAATTTTTATATCTTAAATATTTTCTGCATTATGTTTATCAGAAAGTTTTCATATACTTGCAACACTATGTAATAAAATGTACCCAGATTTTGATTACATTTCCATTACTTTAGAAGTTCCTCTCTATATTTTTGCTAATCTATCTGGAATCAAATACCAATGATACATCATTTTATAAAAAAATTATTTCAAACTATAATTCAAAGTAAATTTTAATCCATTAGTCCATATAGTCTCCCATTTATCTAGTGCTGTTACCCAAAAATTTTAACCCATTTTATCATACAATCTTTGCAATACTTGTCTTTCAAATCCATCTTCAGTAACATTTTATATACTTTAGCGACCAAATGGTCATCTCCAAAACATAAATTGATACCCAATTCAGATTTAACTCCTGTGAAAGCAAAACTTTTTTAATGAAGTTTAAATCTTTCAAAAATTCTATAATTAAACTAATCACAAATCCTTTACTTGCTAATTGTTCTTGTCTTTGTCCTTGGTCCCTCTTTTTCAAATATCAATAACTCCCACTAGGTGATCCATTTACATCCCAATAACTTCTCTCTTCTATGTTGTGCCTCATGAGGTGATAACCAAAATGGCACTCTTTCAGCCAGTCTTCTTTTATATTTCCACCACACACACCCAATCAATTGCCTAATAATATGATTTTTAAAACTAGAGTTAACTTTTACTTTGTCATACCACAAATAAGCAAGCCATCCAAATGTCAAATCAGAGTCTTCAGGGTCTAACAATCTTGATTGTTTTAGAGTTATCCATACCAAACATATCTTTTAACCATACCAAACATCAAGTATCATAGTTTAGTCTAAGATCCCTTCTTTAGAATCCTGTTAAGAGCTTGTATTTAATTCTTGTTTTTTTTATTTTGCAAATGGAATTTAGATACATCTTTCTGCCAAGAAGGAACTTTAATCAATATCAGTATAGCCTTCAAGGTAGTACATTCATTTTAATTGCTGAAATTCTTCCTGTCAACAATTCTAGTTTTTACCATATGTTTAAATCCGTCTGTATCTCCTTCCATATTTTAATTTAGTTTTTATATAACTTAGAATTTTCATCTGTAAGAATCACCCCCCAATACTTTACCTTTTTCACAACTTTAAAGCCAGTTTTAAGTTCCAATTTCTTCCAGTCTTAGTGTTAGTGTTAATGTTAGTTAGTGTTACTAACATAACTGCAATGATTCACTCACCAACTATGGAAAGAAAGAAGAAACTCACTTATCAATTGTCCAGCTTAGCAACAAAAATTTTGTGCTCAACTGTGATTGTAAGTTGAGAACTTCCTGTATATTATATCTGTTGAAGTTCTACATCTACTGTTAAACTCACTTGATAAAAAATGAAGTAAAATTGCAAGAATTGTTCTTAATAACCCATGCTGATTTCAGCAAACCATCATCTGATTTGTTCACAGCTTAAAGATTCAATTTACCTGGTTCTGAAGATTTAAATGAATTCAAAGGAAAGTCCTTATTTTTGTTAATCTCAGACTTCAATTCTGCTGCCTGCCTTTTCTGGTAGAACATACAGTTTTTTATTTATTGTTCTACTAAGATTATTAAAACTGACATTGTTTTTCATTAAACACTCAGCGTTCTCCACAGATTAATATTAAGGCAAAAGCCCTCCCAATAATGAGATTATAAATCCTGATATTTCTGGCATATAATATCTGTTGTGAAGCAACTACAACTGGCAACTGTTCACTTGGATAGCATGGTTCCAGATTATTGTATATCTTCATATCTGGATATGTCATTTACATCCTGCCTTTCCTCAAAGGTGTTTAGGTCAATGTATAAAAGACTTTAGTTCATTTTATTCTTCCACAAATGCTTGTTTTGCAAATAGGTTAAACTTAAAGAATACGTTTAACCCTTAAAGTGGGAGGATTCTTGAGTTGCAAAGAATCTGAATTGAAATTTCTTTGAAAGAATGAAGACCAGATTTCTTTATTAGTTGTGCAATCATATTAATTGTGTTATTCCCTTTATGAGCAGGTAATATTATACAAAGTGCAAAATATATAGTGAGAAAAAATTAAAGGCAAACAAAACAGTAAACAACAAAGATCTGAAAATAAAAGAAATTGAGAGGGGCAAAACATAAAGGACAAATATCTTTCCACCCAGATTATATGCTGAGTGGCAGGCATTATTCCCTAGAATTGAATGGGGGGAATTAAGAAGGACCCAATAAGATCTTTGAACAATTATCTAGTTTTGGAGGAGAGGAATCTTGAAGATCGCAGTTCTCAATAAGGAGTGATCAGAAGTCTTTTACCATCTTTTACTTCAGCTGTTTGTTTTTTTTAAAGCTTACCTTGGTTTTGACTGCACTTTTAAAATTCCTTTAATTTTATTTATTTTTAATAACTAGTTGATTTCTGATCTATCTTACAACTCTTGCTGGATCTTTACAATTTTCTCTTTGCTGTCTCATTGTTTACTATTGAACTATAAAACACTTTTACTTTCCATAAGAAAGTTGCCAGTGAAAATTTATTATCCAGTAGTGAAAATCACCCTATTGGACTTACACTTACATTGGATTATATATGAGGATTTTATTCTTACCACTTTTTTTAATGAAAAAGTGGGAAAAATCCTTTTCTTTTGATTAATTTTCACCCTGGGGGAAAAATAACTTCTCTCTATGGACATTTTGTCATGATATATCTGTTTGTCTTGTTCTTGGAAGGAATATTTTATTTATTTATTTATTTATGAGACTTATATACCGCTTTAAGTGCAAGCACTCTCTAAGCGGTGTACACCAGTAAGCAATGTATATATATATTTACATTGCCCCCAACAATCTGGGTCCTCATAGTGTGTTTTTCAAAATGTCTGCAAAAGGAGATAAAGAATTCTTTCTATCTTACAGACTTCTTTTGAAGATAGAATCAAAACATTTGATGGGTTAACAACAGTTTTGAATCAAACCCAGGATGATACTCAAAAGCAGAAAATAACAATGGGGCTTAATTTGCAGTTTCATGAATTGGAATCTGATTTGTTGCTGCTATACCTGAAGAAGAAAGAACCTGGTCTGAACCTTATAGATTTGGCAGAAAAGATTGACAAGAATAAGAAATTCAGTGATAATGGAACTGATGAGTGATGGGCTGGATATTTTAGACAAGATCAATCCTATCTTTTCAGATAGAGCTTTTGAACAGCGGATGCTGCAGAGACACCTACAATAAAGACCTATGGCTCTGAGAAACAGGATGCAATTGTTGGGAAAGTTCTTAACTAAAATTCTAAGAAATAGTTTTATGATTAAGAATCGGATGAGAATATTTGATCCTGGACAGATTAGAGATAACAATTGGGGTGATTTATAGTAGATAAGAAACTGTTGTAGACAATAACAGATTGTTAACAAAGGGCTTTAAAGTTTTTATTGATTAAATTGTTAATTATTATAACAGTTAGATCTACTGTATAACAGTTTGATTGGTTGCAAATAGATGTAGAAGTTTATAAATCTTAAACTTGACTGCAAGGGGAGGAGGCTATTATTGTTGCAATATATTGGTCAGTGCTCAACTGGGGGGGGGGTGTTTTTGTTTTTGAATCCATGTTTTTAATGTCTATTTAGTTTTATTTTGTTCTTGTAAGATTTCCATTTCCCCCCTGGAGATTGTATTTTAATTTTCTGTATTAAAAATAAAATAAAAGAACAAAGGAAAAGTAGACAAGTAGACTGAACTATATTGCTGACATAACCAACGCTCACAAAGAGTTGCAATTAATGACAGATTACGGACTTACAATTTGTTTCAACAAGGAAGTTTCAATTATGTCACTGCTCTCAATGGAGAAAAGAAAACGCTAACAATTCCCTAACTATTTCATGGAATATAACACGTACAAATCTCACCAACGTTATCTTATTCCATACTAATTTTATTTTTAAACTATGCATAAACAAGCCATAGCTTTGCATGATGTGTGAATCTTAAGTTTTCTTTTGAGGTAACAAAGTGAAGATTCCAAACGAAATCCAGACATATTTAACCGAAACGGGAGTTGACACCCAGTCCATTTATATTGTACCGTATGGAATATATATGGAAGGACTCGTTGAAAAACAACTTTTTATAGGGTCGATTACTACTAACACCGTAAAAAAAAAAAATCTCAGTCTCGCTGGTGGCTCAAGACATACCCTTTGAATTTAGAAAAGGAGATGATCACTAAAACTACTAGTCCCATCATGCTCTGTGCTTGCGTCGCATTTCTTTCTACTTTTTCCTTCCCCCGCAACTAAAACGCTCTGGTGGCTTGTGCGCATGCGTCTTGAGAGCAGCGTCCGGGGCAGGCAGGCAGTCTCACCCTAATGTAAGATGGTGGCCTGTCTGGCAGCGGAGCGCACAGAGCCTAGAGATTACCCGTCTCTCAAATAAAGGTCGTCACTGGAGACACTCAGCTCTATCCCCGCTATCATCGAAAAGAACCAGCGCCCGAGAGAGTATTGCCGCCCCCGCCACCAGACAGCTCGGTTGCTGTGGAACAGGGACGACGAGGTGGGTAAGTGAGCAAGCAGTAGGGGCTGGGGGAGCCGGAGTTGTGAGAGCGTGGAGGCTTCTCCGGGAGCCTGGAGGCCTCAACTTTTCTCTGTCCTCTTCCTGCCCGGATCCTTGGTCTCTCTGGAGCGGAAAGGCAGGAGGAAGGCAAAGGAAGCCGGCGAGCCTATTCCAGCGGCGAGGCCGACAGTCTTTCCCCGGCAGCGGAAGGGGGCTTCTGGGACTTCCTTGCTTGGCTGGCGATCGTCTGATCGGGGAGAGGTTCCGATTGACCCTGGGAAGACCCTCAGGCTTTTTGGGGAGGGGGCCAGGAATAAATGGAGGCGGAGTGTCCCTGTGCAGTACTTTGTGCTTTACATCTTCTTCGGGATTTCCAGGTTTTGTAGGTGAAAGGTGGCCGGATCTGCTGCTGTAGGCGATTGATGCTTTAGTGGGTTTCAGATAAAGTGGGATGCAAAAAAACTCAAAACAAAACAAAAACAACCAAAATCTACTTTTCCATATGTTGAAAAGAAATGGGAAGACTTCCAGTCTCCACAGTAGCAGCACGTGTGTTTGGTTGTGGGTGTCAGTTAACTGTATGGGTGTTTCCTCTTATACACTATTTTTATATACCATTTGAGTTTCCCTGGATAGAAATTCACATTTTCTAATAGGCTTTTTGCATTTTCCAGTACCTTTTATTTTATGTTTCTTGGTATTCTTGAGTTAAGCAGCTAGAGAAGAGATTTCACAGTTCAGAGTTTTGGGTTGCCTTGTCTCCTTTTAAAGGGATGCTGTGGACCAGCCATCTGTTTTGCTCTCTAATGTTTCCATAACAAATCTCTGAGAATTTCTTCTGATAATATAAAAGGGTAAGCTAAGCAATTTTGTCAGTAAAGAAGTCATTTATAGTGACATATTTTATCAATGATATGTATTGTAGTAAAGGAACGAGGGGTGGAATCATCATCTAAAAGCTAGCTTCTTTATAATTTTACTAATGTCACACCTATTACAGTTTGATAGTTTTTAAGATTTATTATTTCAAGTAAATAGGCTTTTGATAAAGCTGTTATCCACATTCCATAATGCTGCCTATTTGTTTTATAATTATTTAAATTTATGATATTGAGAGTACAAAGCGTAGTAAAATAGCATTTTCTTTTATAATAATAACCTTGGAATTATATATAGAGAAAATATAAGCTATTTAATATGTCCTATGAATTACTACTTGGTGTTTTCTCAGAGAGAGTCAAGTATTTTAATTCCAGGAAATCTTATGTTTGAGTGTTCTTGGTTGCAATGTTAATTATAATAGTTTTGAATTAAATCTCATGAAAATTAGCAAGGCTTTTTGATAGATATATACAAGAATACACTGCCAGAAACTGACTTGATAAATCATGTATTGATTTAATAATATGAAAAAGTTTGTATGTAATTCCCAAATTCAAATAACCAAAGCAACTCAAAGCTTTATAATTTGGAATTTCTTTTTTCTGTCCTAATTTCAGATAATCTAAAAAATAAAATATGTCCCAGAATTCTTAATTTTATTTATATGCCATAGAAGCATCTTGAAAGTGCCCAGTGATTAATTTAAAAAAAAATAATGTAGCTTTTAACTATATATATTTGTGATTTTTATATAATTTTTTATTTTTTAATTGTAAAAAGAAGTATTAATTTATTAAAATTATTTTAGTGATTTTTCAAATTTATCTACTGATCATCATATAATATGTGCTATGAGTGATTTTTATTCCACTTAAAATATGCCATTTGGGACTGAAACAGTTATTTACTTGGCAAAGTAAGATATGCACACAAATCAAGTATTTTTTCAATAATTTTTCATTTAAAAGTTTTTCCTAGTAGAAAAAAGTAAGATAATCTTGTGCAGATGTTTTTGTGAATTTCAAAAATATAAATGATAGAAGAAAGTACTTGCACCTTAAGTGGTACAGATTATAGAGATATTTGGTTGGTTGGAGAACTGCATAATCAACTTGGATTTGAAGAAGAGTTAGAATACCCTATAAAGTTGTACTGTCTGATAGAATTACTTGATGTTGAAAGACAAGTAAATTTTGTTTATAACTTGAGTTATTTTGATGATTAATGGTATACTAAAATGGTTTATTAGTGCACTAGAAGATTTAAAAATATTTAATATCTAATCTTCACAATTTTAGAATATGGGTTCTAATGTTTTTTATAATATATACATCTTAGGATTGAGCACTGTCTTTTGTAGGTGCTGGTATTAGAATAGAATAAATAAGCATACATTATCTTAACCAGAATTCAGTAGAGAAAGAAAATCCTAAAATCTTTAATATGCATAGATTGTTGCTGCTAACTTGTGATTTTCCAAAAATCTTTAATATGTATAGATTATTGTGTAACTTGAGTCATTTCTTTTTTACTTATGAAAATTCTACTAGAATTTATGATTTGCTTCGTATCATTTGTAGTATAACAGAAAGCAGAGTTGGAAGGTACCTTGGAGGTCTTCTAGTTCAACCCCCTGATCGAGCAGGAAACCTATACCATTTCAGACAAATGGTTGTCCAATCTCTTCTTAAAAACCTTCAGTTATGGAGCACCTACAACTTATGAAGGCAAGCCATTCCACTGGTTAATTGTTCACACTGTCATTTCTAGGCTGCTTCTCTCCTTGATTAGTTTCTATTCACTGTTTCTTGTCTTTCCTTCTGGTGCTTTGTAAAATAGGTTAAGCCCCTCTTCTCTGTGGTATCTCCTCAGATATTGGAACACCACTATCATGTCACTCCTTCTTTTCACTAGATTAGCAAACGGTTCTTTATATATTTTAGCCTCCAGCCCCCTAATCATTTTTGCTGCTCTTTTCTGCACCCTTTCCAGAGTTTCTACAGCTTTTTTATAATATGGTGAGCAAAACTAGATGCAGTATTCTAAGTGTGGTCTTACTAAGGCTTTATAAAGCAGTACTAATATTTCATGTGATCTTGATTCTATCTCTCTGTTAATGCAACCTAGGATTGCATTGGCTTTTTTGGCTGCTGCTGCATATTACCAGATTATATTTAAGTCATTGTCTTCTACAGTGGTTCTCAACCTGTGGGTCGGGACCCCATTTGGGGTCGAACAATCATTTCATGGGGGTCGCCAAACAATGCAGTCCGCCATTTTTCCCCCCTTTTCCTTAGCTGTGCTACTCCCTTTTATTCTATTGGCTTTTGAAAGCCAATAGAATAGACTCTCTTGAATAGAGTCTAATTCTATTGGCTTTCAAAAGCCAATAGGAATTGTCCAGGCTGTCTCTGCCCTGCTGAGCCCGCCAAAAGTTCCATTCTGCAAACGGTGCTGCACCAGTTGAGTAGTCCTCGACTTACAACCGGTTGAGTAATCCTTGACTTACGACCGGGGGGTCGCGGCATTAAAAAGGTTGAGAATCACTGGTCTACTAGGACTCCAGGATCCTACTCACCTAATCTGTACCTGTACATTTGATTTTTCTTACCTAAATGTAGAACTTTTCTTACCGTTGAATTGTGTTAACTATGGTCTAGTGTTCAGGTCTGTCAAGATCCTTCTGTATTTTGAGCCTATCTTTTGGAGTGTTGACTGTTCTTGCCAGCTTGGTGTCATCTTCAAATTTGATGGTTTCCCTTCTGTCCCCTCATCCAAATGAAGACATCGAAGAGTACTAGGTTTAAGAGAAAGCCGTGAAGTACCCCACTGCATACAAGTAGTCCTCAACTTACGACCACAATTGAGCCAAAATTTGTGTTGCTAAGCAAGACAGTTAAGTGAATTTTGCCTCATTTTAAGATCTTTCTTGTCACAGTTGTTAATGTGAGTCACTGCGGTTAAGATAGTAACGTCGTTAAGTCAATCTTTTTTTCCCATTGACTTTGCTTGTCAGAAGGTCACAATAGGTGATCACATGACCCCGTGACACTGCAGCCATCATAAATATGAATCAATTGCCAAATATATGGATTTTAATCACATGACCATAGGGATGCTGCAACGGACGTAAGTGTGAAAAATGGTCATAAGTCACCTTGTTCAGTGCTGTTGTAACTTCAAATAGTTATTAAATGAACAGTTGTAAGTCAAGGATTACCTGTACTTCTCCCCCCCCCATGTAGATGCAGTTCCATTAAAAGACTACATGTTGAGAATGGG